GAGAGAATCAGACAGGAGACTGAGAATAAATGAGTTTTAATTTGGCTCCCAGCAGTTTTTACTGTTGAATTGTTTCAAATGCGTCGTCAGTAGTCGGCCTCAGGGTCAACTAAGTAAACTTTAAATGTAAAACTAACAGCTTGAATAAATAATCAACTAATCCAGTGTTATCAGCCATGGCAATTTCTGAAAGCACTGTGCAGATTATAGTTCTCCTTTGCATATATTCTTTAAAATTAAATGCATTCAAGTTGGTAAAGCTGGAGTACTTAACTTTCCAACCACAAAACAATGTAACTACATAATATATTCCATCTAACTGGTCCTTGCTTTGTTCTACAGTTTTTACATGCATGGATTTTTGGCCTCTGGCACACCTTTGGATAAGCTTTATTTTTTTTGCAGTTAAAAACACATTGGAATATTTTTCATAAAAATAAAATAAAAAAAATGCTTATTTGTCATTTGTGGCACAAACTGGAAGATATTTTTACCTAATAGAAAGCGAATTGTTTTTCAAATATATGACTATCTGGAGTTGGCACTCTGCTGCGATGGCCCTGTTTTCATACCTGACAGGTCCAAAGTTATAAGGCTGTGGAATGCTTTTGCTTCTCCCCATGTTCTCCCTTCACTGCTGCCCTGCTGCTTAAAGCATGCTACAGCCACTTGGCTCCTGTGGAGGGGAAATTCAAGGAGATGCATGTGTTAAGAGTAGAAGTAATGTGTGATAAACATAATGCATAACATGGTATTTTATTATGATGTACTTTATAGTTTTCATAGTTTAGGTCAGTGATATTAGAACATTTAAATGAATTAATTATCATATATATATACTGCCATTAATCATAAACTTTATAGAAACCTTGTTGATGTATCATGAAATTACTTGGTTTGGCATTTGTATATTTCAATAAATATACCAACTTCAATTCAATTTGTTTTAAATAACCCTAAAAAACAGATCAAATTTGCAAACACAGATCAAAGATCAGAATCAAACCATTCAAACGCAAGACAGTAAATGAGAGCCATTATAAGGGGCAGATGACCCATGTCCATAAATGGACTACAACTACATTTTAGACAACTTGCAAATCTAGAAACCCATGTTGTCTGACAGAGTTCTGTATACATATATTTACTCACTTTTCCTTTTTATGTCTCTGAAATGCTTAGCTACTTTGGTCACATTTTTTCACTTTGTTTTACTGTAGTTTGTAAGTGTAACTCCATGAAGCTCTCAGAGACCCTGCAATGTAAATATTTGGACATCTGTAAATATTCTCTGAGTTGTGACTGTGAAGCAAGAAAACACAAATACACTAAGTGTCTGTTTTTCATTTAGCCAAATACCATTGGAACATGCATATTTGGACTGCTGACAACTATACATGTCAGCCATGCTAATTGTTTTATTAGACAGCTATACAACAATGCAACAACTATAAAACGTGACTTTACACTAATCACACTGAATAGTAAAGTTGTGAGGAATTTGTGAGAAAGTAAGGAAAAAGCCATTTTCTAAGACCAAATGAATGGGATGCAGAGCAGTCAACAACCTTGTGAAATAAAAAATTTAGTCTGGGTTAGAAGAATGCCAGCCATCTGATTTAAGAAAAACATCAGTAGCTCTTAGAACATTTACCTTACTTGACTGCTATACCTTTTTTTGGCAAAGAGATTTATTTTTGTATGCATGCCATTAAAATTTCTATCCCCCATAGCTGCAAACCAACAAATACTTGTGATTATGAGTGATGCCACCAACAAGCAATAGTGACTTATTTATTATTCTGGGCAAACGGGACCATTTCTTTCTGCTGTGTTATAGAATGTTTTCCTTGTGTTGTGGCGGGCCCGATGTTTGAAAGGCCATTTTACTCTGGAGGTCTGGGTTTTCTCACTAGTGTAGTGGTATATTTAGATGTTGATTATGGATAATCAGCTGTAATGACGGAAGTGCAGGGCATGTGTTTAGACTCAATGCCATCGTCTTTGGAACAGAGACCAAACAGGACTGTCTCACTGACTTATAATTGGATTAGACATGGGCTAAATAATAATACAGCAGTGCACGTTTATTCAAAGGGACGAACACAGCTTGTCCAGCAGGGCCTACGTTTGTGAGGTTGATGATTACTTAATAAAGATCAGCGCTTTCTCGACCATATCTTCTGTTAGGAGGTCAGGTGAAAGGTCTCAGGTCACAAATGGCTGCTTGTATCTTCTCATCTGGAGTGTGCCGGTCATTGTCCGTAATGTGGTCATAAAAGCCGTGACACTGCTGACCAGGGCAGACAAAATCCAATATTCTATCACTGAGCTGTCCCCGGTTCTTTTTTGTCACCACAAGATGTCCTCCAGATCAGGGTCATTGCTTTTTTAAATTCTACTAGAAGAGCCATTTCTTAGGCTATAACGACACCATTAGTTTTGCTATCACCTCTGTCCACGTTCACCAAATGCCAATGGCTTCAACGTCGTTCATCAAATCTAATTTAGAACTGAGGGTTTCCGCGCATCATCAGCTTTGACGTTCAGTTTGTTATTGACAATCACAAGGTCTCCGCTAAAATGAAATGAATGAATAATATTGTATTTTAGTTCATAGACTTGCAATTCGTTGGTTCCATAAAGTCTGTCTTTCATATGTTGCTGTAAATGAATGAACAAATCCAATAAAGGACTGAGCTTGGGTTACTCCAGTGAATTTGCTAATTAATATTTATCTATGAAAACTATTTAGACTTATGTGCAGTCAGATTTAAATCTAGATTTAAAATATGAACTTAAGCATTAATAATCATATTGCACACAATAATTTAACGATGCTCTAATTTATAAAACTAAAATAAAAGACACTAAAAGCTAGAAGTGTGGTTTTTTAAAAATTATACATAATATTGATTTATTATAGAACAATGTTTTGTTTCACTTTTCAGATAAAATAAATATATTTCACCATCCTCGGGTCAAAATGAACCTTCATGGTGATTAGAAATAGAAAATACCCTAAACTAGGGTTTAAAAGGGTCTAAATGACACAGGGCTGGTCAAGTTAGGAAACGTCAAAATTCAGCTTGAAAAAGGGTACTTTTTTAAAATCACTGACAGGTCAATTAGACCTGAGGATAGCACAAGGGTTAAGAAAAAAATCAATAAATGAACTATAAATCGATCATTAGTGTATTTTTTTAAAATGTGGTGAGCGTTAGAAAAGGGGCTAAAAGCCTTTTTTTCTGAATAGTTTTGTGTTATTTAGAATTGTATTGAATTGCATCAAATTGAATGTCCCCTGTGTCTAGATAAGAAATAGTTCCAGTCTAGGGTATCGTGTCATGTCTATCGAGATCCATATTGTATCAGCAGGCCCTGAAAGAAGACCAGCCCTTCTAAAAGCTTTGCATTACGTTTCAGTAGTTTCTTTCGTCACTGTTTTTAATCATCAGTGAAGTCTTAATGTATCTGGATTTCTGCTTGTCTTGAGAACCACAGCTCTATTTACAACCTTACTTCCTGTGGTGTTTATTTGAAATCGAGCTCGCATGACTTTGGCCCGCGCTGAAACCTCCTCGCGGCCACAGCTTTGGTTACACTCATGGTAAATGTCCTTCAACTGCAGCGTATGCCTCATCTAGCAGGCCCCATGGCTGCACTCACATACTTCCTCCTGAAAATCCAATCCACTGCCGCATTCCCCGTGCCAACATCCAACTTCCAAAACACAATTTCCACTCTGAACTCTGGCGTTTATTCCCTGTGTGCCCTCTTTATTTAGAATGTATTGTAAACACGGTCAATGCCAATATGGCTCCACACGACAAAAAGCAGTTATGAGCGAGGTTAAGTGTTAGGCAGTTATCTGCATGACGCACGTTTAGCTACAGAGTGACGGTGCGCAGGCGTTTTGGCCAGAGTGGTTTGCATTGGCGTGGGTTATGATTGCTTCTGATTCTGACGGCGGTGCTTTTTTGCTCTCAAAGGGGGGAAGGAGTAGTATATGGGTTGAAAGTTGTCCTACCCATGAGTAAGTTTGGATATGTTTTTAAAACTTGTAAGCCGATCTTTCCTTCCTCATTCGTAGTGTCGATACTCCTCTGGCCTCAGGAGCTTTCTTGGTTTGCTGAAAGTGCAGCCTCTAGATAAACACTGAGTTTCCCCTATCAGTGATGACAGCAAATTACATGTCTTAGCCTCTTTTCAAACCTCTGTTGTTTTTGACGGGTCATATGTGTATTAAGTGAAAGCAACCATGGCCTGTATATTTCTGTCCCAGCTAGTTACAAAGTCAGTAAATATAAAATACAAGTCATGGATCCCAATCTTAATGCTTTTCATGCATTTTTCTCAACGTCCCCGGAGAGGAAGCAGGGGAAAAAGCGCTGCTTGGTTCAGACAGGCCCCATGACCTTGTTGCTTTATTATTCTTTTGACGCTTGTGTTGGAGGTGTTGAAATATTGAACAGAACATGAGAGACGATGACCGCCGAGTTTACTTCTCCCCTTGTCCCGGCCACTTGGAGGATTTAAAGTCTCGCTCGGCTGCGGTTTGAATTGTTTAGACTGACACCTTGAACCATAACGCAAGTCAAAAGCAGGAGGAAATAAGTGTATTCACTTGTGATAAATGCACACTTCATGTCTGACCACGCTTTGCTGTAAAACTGAAGTTGAATCCTTATTAAACTGAAGCAAAATGAGGATTAGATTTATATTGGATTATTGTTTTGCGAGAAGTGATATAATTATAAAAATACATAATTCTACATACATTACAGACATTGGTAGGTCACTTCAAAAAATAATGTATGAAAAAAAAGAATACATTTTTAGATTAAGCAAATTGTGATGATATGCTCAGGGCAACTTTTTGTACTATATTGTACATATATACTGTATTTTTTTTACAGTGTTTACAATGACCAGAATGACCTCCTATGCAACTTGTAAGAGTTTCTATTGACGCATACTATTCTGATTTGTGATTGAAGGAATGGCAGAACTCTATACAGAAGAACGCAGGTCTGGCGTTCATCGAGCTGGTCAACGAAGGCAGGTATGTAATGCTCTCATGCTCTTCAAGTCATTATCAGCTGAATTAGCCGCCATGTGTTCCTCTGCTACCACACTCCATGTGAGATTACAGCCCTCTGTGTGAAGCTGCTGCTTGGAGATGAACAAATATAGTTGAGACTGCAGCTCTTCGACTCAAAAGTTAAACACCTGCTACAGCACTATGAGCGCAGGTGAGCCTTTATGGGACAAAATGGTCAATTATCAAGTTAGATGAAGTTATCAAGTGGTATAAGAATGGAGATGGAGAAGAGTGGATGCGAGTTTTATTAGACAGAATGTAGTGAGTCATTGAGTGAAGGAAGGGAAAGAAGCAGTGTTGCAGCAGTTATCCGTCTGCAGGTGACACATGAAGCTCTGTCTCACACCTGCCCAAAGAAAAAAAAAAACTACCCCTGACATTTCTATTCTTTTTTTTCCTATTTAAAAAAAAAAGTTCAATATACTTCCAATACAAAGCCCACACTGGTCAGTATTGATCTGCAGCTCTTAAACTTGGCTCCACTAATCCCCAGTAATGATAATGAGGCTGGTGATGGAGTTTTCTGGTTTCTTTACGGAGACAAGGTTGTAATTCACTTAAAGACTCTTGTTCAAATGTACTTCATGTTGCAGCAGGTTACCGTTAAAACTGCAGTGATTTATCAAGAAATATTCTTTTTTACTTCCCTATCTTTATTCAAAGCCTCAGGAAAAAGCAAGATCACCTTGCAGTTCCATTGCAAATGTTTTTTTTTTTTTTTATGATCAGGTTTATTAATCACAATTGGTTTGAACTGCTGTCCTGTTTCTGTTGTTTTGGTTGGATCAACGCTGTCCTCCTCTGATCTTCTCCTGGATGCGTGGATAAACTTAAAAAACAGATGCTTCTTTTATGGAACCAGCAGCCTGCCCATTTACATTAGATCTGCTGAGTCTCTAGTGTAATACTTAAATACTTAACTTTTTCTCTTGGTTTCAACAAGAACCTAGCTCAAGCCTAAAAAATAAAAACAATATTTGTATTTTCATTACATTTGATTGCAGCAGTGTGATTTTTGAAGGTTATATGGTTTTTCAAATAAATCAAGTAATGTATAATTTATCAACATTTAAATAACCCTTTTTCAGAAATGTGATATCAAATGACCAAAATCAACAACCGTAAAAACAGAAAAAGTTGTATGTTAGTTGGAAGCCAAATTGCTATATAGACGGTGTTCAGGAGCTCATATCACATATCTACTTCTTAAATACACTACATCATATTTAATTAAATATTAGTCCTCTTTTCTGAAGCCATGTCTCGTTTTGACATTGTGGATATAGGGTAGTGTAACTTATAGCTCCATAGTGTTCTCAAAGCAGCTCTTCCAAACGTCCCACAGGCGTGTCGTTGGCCTGCAGAGAAGAGCGGGTTATTGATAGCAGGGTCTGGACAGGGCCAGAGAGGCTACGGAGGCCCCTGCACCTCCGCTCCCCTGCTGCCCTGTGCTGAAACAGCGAGCTTAGGTTACAGCGGTCCCTTGGCCCCCGAAGCCCCTACAGCCCTCCATTTTCTCAGGCTCTGTTATTGTTCCACTTTGCACAGTTCTGACCTTTAGTGCTGCACTGAGGTTTGGTCGACCCAACAAACATGCATGTTTCATTAATGCGATAAAGTCTGAGGTGGTGGCTACACGTGTTGGGACTATGATCCTACCTCCTGTCAGATGCATATCATTAACAAGTAATTTAGCTCCCACAGACACGTAACTAAGGTATTTCTTCTGTTACTGCTGCACAAATTAGATTTTCTGCTGATTTTGCATGGCTCTTCACAAGTGTTTTATGGGTTATACACATCTTGTCAGTTTACAACTCCTTTGATTGTGCTAAGCAGCTCTTTGAAATGCTCTGAAGTGTATGTTTGTAAATATTAGTAATAATTATTGATCCAAACTGAAAAATTAACAGTTCCCATTTTTTGTTTCCAGGCTGTTAAGTCACACCATGAAGGATCACCTTGTCCGAGTGGCTAATGAAGCCGAATTCATCCTCAGCCGACAGAGAGCAGAGGAAATCCACAAACATGCAGAGTTTGAGGTTTGAATTTCATGTTTTCATATTCTTTATTAATAAATCTGAAAACCCGGAAGACGCATAGTCATTTAGACTATGGCTGGTTATAGGTACAGACGTTTTTGAGAAGTATGATGTGAAAAGACAAAGGTGGGGGACTTCTAAAATCAATAACAGAAATAAGTTGGATGAAAAGAAAATGTCGGGGATCCAGGTACAGTAACTATAGAAAGTGTTCTGTATTCAGGAGCTCATGAAGTTACTCTGCTACTTTGTCGACTAAAAGGTTTCTTTCCTTTCAAATTGGCAACCCGACATAGAGAGTCATTCTGCTCTCTGATTGTATAATTTGCTTGAAAATCGGAAACATAAATATTATGGGTTTCACTTCTGTTGTAATTTTAATCAGGAATACCTCCACTGAACTTTTGTAGAAAAGAAAAGATATAGATGTAATTTGAAATTAAATTATTACATGGTGTCCCTTTAATACTCTACCCACACTGAATGCTCCTATGTACCCATACAAAGACCAGTGGTAAAATACCATAATTAAAATGCATGAACTTATCAAAGTCTCACATTGGACAGTCAGCCCTCTGAGAAATCCGTTTGCTTGAAGCCTGCTTTGATAGTGCTTTTATAGCAACGGTTCATAGCTTGATATTTTTGTGCGCTGTCAGTGGAGATGTAGTGAAAACAGCCGAGTTGTATGGGTCGCGGGCGAACACTGGCTCTGGACATGTCGATCATGGCTCCGAGCTGTCACTGCAGACCCGGAGGACAAATGTTTACTTTTCAAACATAACCCCAAGCAAATCATGCACACACATGCCTCTGACGCAGCGTACGCACAACTGGCCAAACAGAGACGAGTGTTGATTTCTCCCGCTGCTTCTGAGGGAAACTGTAGGTGTGCAGGTAAACTCGAGCAATGTTTACTCAGCTCCAAACTCGTTAAAAAAACTCTCATAGGTTTGTTTAAGCTTGGTGTTTGCTTTCTTCTCAAATTTATTAGGTTATGTTTTTCAGTGTATTGAGAAGTACTGGTTTATGCTAGCTGTAATATAGGGTCAATTATTTATTATTTGAATATTGGATTTTATATTAATTTAACCATATCTCGAGTGATGCCTCTGGAGAAGTTCTTGTTACACACTGGGTTTTTTGCCTGAATAATACTTCTCAGTAAGATAAAAAAACAAGGATTTTAATAATTGCTTCTTTTCGATGAACTTAGCCCATAAAAAAACTTGATCATAATTGTCAGAAAATATTCCGCTACTTGTGGCATAGAATAGAGATGCTGCCAATATATGTATTTTTATTGTGAGAGAGTTGGCCTGAGCAGAGTTTGAGATTATTATTTTGAGTCATAAGCGAGTCATGGAAGCTAACAGCTAAGGTAAGCATGCTAACATAAGTGAATGTTTGCATCCTCAGGTTGGACCAAGATTTCTCCATCACAAGTCAACAGTGTGTTAAAACACCTTATCATTATTCATGTTGTGACCAGTTAAACAGTTCTCTATCCACTTTTACTCTAGCTGTTGAATTGTTACTTACATCATAAACACATTTTTTTTCTTCTCAATTACTTGTCACTCTTCAACATTATCACACACACACGATGATCACGATCATCACAATCGCACAGGTTCAGGACAACAAACGATAAAAAAAATTAAAATAACATACAATCAGTATAACTCAAATAGAAAAATAAAAAAAGAACTGCAAAAGTCGAGACGTGATTAAGTCTGTCTTGTGATAACCTACAGTATGTGTTATAATATTAAAGATTTAGCCTCTTTTTGATTCATATTTTTGCTCTTTTAATATAATTATAATGTCTATGATTAATTCTGCAATCACAAATATTGTGATTCTAAGTGCACATTTTAAAAGTGATCAACTTGTATGTGTTGATATTGCGTACAAGAAACTATATTTTGATTTGAAGTGCATTCTTTGCGAGTCGCGAGTTGCACATATTGAAATGTATGTTTTGATTAGATTTTGGCACAGCTGATACTCACTTAAATGGAAGAGTAAAATCACTAAGAATGGAACTTTTTAATGGTCCTTTTTTCCTGCAATTTAGGAAGTTGATCTGCTGCTGCAATCATCCTGAATCAGATATCCCCCATTGTTTGTCCCAAAGTGTTTCACAATTGAATTCCCCACTTAAATGCAGTTGCTCCTCTGTGACCCCAGAGAAGCAGTGAAGCCCTGATAAGTCTTGCTCTGATATTGCTGTATTGATTTTTGCCTCCATACAAGCCCTGTCTGAGGCTGCTGCAGCCAACACTTTCATTTTGCACTGCCACTATAAAAATAACAGGCCAATGAAACATCCCCCCAGAGGCTGGGGGTGCTCGCTCTTCAACCATTACAGTTTTGGGCCACTTTTAGAGGTGAATGGGGTAAACATGGGAATGATGGAGACAAATATACTTTTTTTGATTCATACATAAAGAGTTTATAGTTTACCAAGAGACCCGGGTCTAGCCCACTGATGGGTAGGAAGACAACAAGTATAGATGGGCTATTTTTACATGGGAGATATGGTGCTCTGAAAGTTTCACAAATTGAGCTCAGAAATGGATGGATAATAATAAGGTGAAGTCATGGTGACACAGTGAGCACAGAGGCATCACACCCCTACTGCTATGTCCGCTATACGCTCTGTGTATTACTTGAACTCTCTAGTTGCCTATATTATCTATTCATACAAACTGTTAACACTGCATTGAATAGCTAGGGATCTTCCAAATTCAATATATCTGTATTGGCCCCCAATCTAGTATTTTTCAAGTACTGGAACAATCTGGTTTGGTGAAAAGATCCAGGGACATTGTCCCACGCACCCATACACTGTACAAAACCCTGCACCAAATCCAGACCAAAAGTGTATTAGCTTACATTGCTAAAGCTACGGCTAATGGGGCTACAATATCTACACAGCAGCACAAACTCAGACAGAGGAAGCTCTAAAGCAGCTACAACATGAATATTGATACAGGCAGAATTTGTCATCTGTTTAATGTATTCACTTAGCCTTATTGTGTAATTCAAACTTTATGCGGATCAACATTGGAGCCGCAGAGAATACAAAGAATTTACACAGAATAAAAGAATGCTGTCTTAAAGAAAACATATACCAAATATAAAAGTATTAAGATCTGATTAGGAATTGCACATATGAAAATATTGGTATTGAGTAGGGAGCCAAACACACAGGATTGGGACGTCCCTGACAATAATGCGCTCGAGCCAATCAAAATAGTTTTTTCTGTTTTGTCTTGCCTTGTATATTCATGCGTCTTTGTTTCAATCCAACGCCGCACTCTGTGGAGAAACAACTTAAATTCAGTGACGCGGGGGCTGTGCACAACTGTGCTATATGAATCTCTCGTGCAATGGTGTTAAAAATGTTGTGACGTGAGATACTTTTGATGAAGTATGCATCTATCCATCCTCTTAAGGTGGCAGTCAGAGCTGCACCCAATTCACAGAGCACCAGCCCCTCACTGATCCTCCTGCAGGTGGTGAGTCCACTGGAGGACGGCTTCTCTGTCAATGAGAGCATAGCCTTCCTCTTGTTTAGCGGGGTTAAGCATCTTGCCCAAGGACACAACGACAGCAGACATCGGTGGGAGTCGGTGGAGAAGGTCTTGTGGTGGGCTCTAACCCACAACTTTCAGGCTTAAAGGCCAATGCTCTACCAACTGAGCCACCGTTGCACCACTATCTATCAATCTATTTTAATTCTTGTTATTTGCTCATGTTAATTTCACACAGTATGCGATCTTTAATCTTGCACAAAAACGGTGTCCAACAATGAGAATCAGACACCAGTTCTTTTGGCTTAACCTATTTTAGTTTTGTTTTCATTCAAAAATGATTGGTTAAGTCAAACAGAAACTTCAAGTGCCAACTCAAGACAGCAGCATGGATTATTGGATACATAAAAAACAAATTTATGTTTGCTGCTTGTCAGAGTTCACATCCTTGAGTCGACAGTGATAGAGAGGCTTTTTGATTTAGATAGCTTTCCCTTCAGAGACACAACATATGCTTTCCCTGTCGCTCTCTCCCTCTGTCTCACCTCTCACTGTGCCGCAGAATTGAGTTATCTTTGGCCCAGAGAGTAAGTTATTACACTGGGCTCAGGGTGAAACAGAGATGAAGATAACTAGGAGGAAATCCAATTACCTCTTAGGGTTCTCTATCTAATAGGATCCTTAATGGTGAGGAGATCTGCAGATCGGATGCTGTTGCCCGCCACGGCAAATGATAGACTCTGGTATCTGTCTGACGAGCAGCAAGGGGCAGAGAGGCCAAGAAACACAGAGAAGGAGCCAGAAATCGAAGCCTGTCTTTTTATGGGGTTGTTCATTAGGGATGAAATGTGGTGAGCTCAGGGGCACAAGGGCAGATAAGAGGGTTCAGATAAGGACAAGCGAGCAGGACCCAAATCATTTTTATTCCTCTGTTCTGTATTTTGTTTTCTGTGTGAGTCAGACTTTGCTTTACATGGAGTAATTTAATTGACATTGGAGCGATCCTGAAAGCCAGACGGGAGCAGATAATTAGTGGTTGGCGGCATTGTCTGTACAATGCTGAGATTGTAAAACGATCCAGTCCCTTGCCCCTGTGTTAATGACATTAACATTGAACTGATACTCATTATGTTCCATTATCATAGTGCTGTGTGTGGAGGTGCTTCAGAGACCAACACAAAGACGCAACACAAGTAGTGAAGCCAGCATATAGACCTGGGGATGTGGGTTGTGCACCTTACAGGATCAAACTTTTTTTTTTTGGAACTTTGTAGTAGAGCAGTTTTGCTTCCTCATAAAGACAATACTTCATAGTCCTCATAATCCCATAATGGTCAAATGTGTCATACAGCTATCAATTCAGGTGTTTTTATCATTTTCACCAGTAGTTTGCACCTCCTGCTTGAATCCTGTCCCCCTTTTGAACCTGGCCTGATTTTGTTTGGACTCACCTCTTTT